CAGCAACACCTTACATTCCTAGATCAGTACAAAAAGGGTTAGTGGACACAAAAATACGAATATTACAGTGAACGAAAGTGTACGAGAGGAAAGGGAATAATTAAATGACGGTTCACAACAATATTAACCATTTCGACGATAATAAACACTGATACATTTATTCGATTGTGATGAACTTAGAGTTATGTCACTAAAAGTCTTCAACCACTGATTTCTATTATCTCAAAGACAGCAACAAGACTGTTTTTTTTTAGTTTTCCGTACAACTTAGAATATAAGTTACATGCACTGGTGCCATGTCTTCATCTGATAACAATTTGCTTTCTTCCAGTCTAGTTTTTCTCCTCCTTAGCTCTTCACGTCCAACCGTAACATCGTTGACACGGTGCTGCTATGGTAGACATGAGATCTCACGCAAACACCTGTGATCAGCGAAGCGATTCACATTAAGTTAAAGTTGAAAAATGGTTGAACATAACAGACTAATGTTATTTTCTAGCCTAATCATACATTCCGCTGTATTACTACTGTTATAGTGTGCGATTAAAGAATAACCGATGCACATCAATGATTAAAGAGACCAAGAAAGTAGTGAAATAGTTGATTTGGATCGTGGGGTTCTATTTGTTTTGCTTATTTCAGCGCACAAAATGAACTCAACCGCAAACGATTTTGATATATAGTGATAATGCAAGAAGAGAGAATGATTATATATGGTGTAATCAATAACTGGAATATATATGTACTATCACACTTACTAATATACGCAAAAGGACTGACGAGGAAATATGTAGATGCGTATTCACAAACACCCAGAATTTTATGGATAAAAATCTGTTATTAAAATCAATTCAAATCGACTGCACAATTACAGAGGTGTATTAAGTATACAAGTGAACAAATCAATGTTCCCGTCCGAGTTTACTGCATGATTGAAAGTGAATAGAAACTAGTGACCCAGAAATGTTTTTGGGTGAATTCAAAAATTCATCAAACTAGATTTAGAAACAAATATACAAAAAAAGGTTGTAAAGTTAGACTTACTGTTTAATTTTTACAACTGTTCAACACTCCAAAGTCTTAAAGATGTTAATTCAATAATTCGATTTAAATATTGTTTGCTTGAACAAATGAGTGGGATTTGATTTTTTTGCTATTTCGTCCCAGTTACTTCTCTTATCGGTCTTCCTTAAGTTTCATTTCCTATTAGTGTTCAACGACGAAGTATAACAAATTTAACTCTTACCCTATTATATTGCTTTATATGCTTGTATCTATCTCTCTGAGTTTAATGTCATAAATAAGGAAGGGTGTTATCAAGCAGTACACGATAATAGAATGTAACATATAGTAGTAGTAGTAGTAGTATATTTATTTACTTATTAAAGTGGGAAGTATGTACAGGTGAACCGAAAAAGAATGCGAAATACTGACAAGTATTGAACACTACTACTGGGTTTACACTGACCATTCATGATAAGCATCAATTTGTAACCTCACCCGGTTAACTAGTTCACTACTTACTACCCGGTCCTAAGCCCCCATAAAGAGGGAAGGTTGGGAATAGGGATAATAACCCTACCCCGTAAAACCAATACAATCGCTACAGAAACTTCAAAGCACAAAGAAAATATAAAACATAAAAATAAACTTATTCCTCGCTAGAATCGGAAGGACGAAATGACGCCAGTTGGTGAAAGCCTTCGGGAAGCCAATTGGCCGATGTGTCTCCTCTCCCTAGATGAAAGCGAAAGTAAACATGGGGACATGGAATGTTCGCACGACGTTTGAATCCAGCAAGGCAGCCCAGATTGCAAACGAGATGAAGAGGTATCACATTGAAGTGCTTGAGATTTGCGAAAGCAGATGGGATGGAAGTGGACTCTTCAAATTCTTAACTGAAGAGTCAACAACCTACTCCGATATTGTCACCCAGACGACAACCACGAGCACACTGAGTTATGGAGTGGCTGTCATGATGTCCCCAATACCATTGAAGGTTCTCATGCATTGGGAACCAATCTCCTCAACGATCAGGATTATGAAAACAAGATTCAACTCAAAAGGAAGGAAAGTCACAATCATTAAATGCTACGCGCCAACAAATAATGCAGATCAACAGAGGAAGGAAGAATTCTATAGACAACTGCAATCAGTAATGGATGAGACCCTAGCCCACTCGGCGATATCAAAATTCTAATGGTTGACATGAATACCAAACTGGGAGGGGACAACACAGGAAGAGAACTAACCATGGGTCGAGAAGCGCTCGGTGAGGTGATGAACGAGAATGGAGAACTGTTTGCAGAATTCTGCGCATTCAACGATTTAGTGATTGGAGGTAGTGTATACAAACACAAGGATATCCACAAAGCGACATGTATTTCACCAGATACCAGGACACACCACTCTGGAAATCAGATTGACTTCATCTCAATGTGGAGAAAGTGGAGACTCAGCCTACTGGACACTAGATCAGATGGAGAAGGGGAGCAGACGTAGGCTCAGACCACTATCTAATGCAAGGAACCTTCCAATCAAAATGAAAGCCTTCGAAGAAGCTGGCGATAGATCACAGTTCAAGTTCAACATCCAGAACAGAAACTGAAGGAGAAAACTACAAAGGATATCTTCACGTCATTCAGCCATCAAGAAAAAATGGAAGATATCTAGCAACATTCTCGAAGAAACCTGCGTGAAAGAACACTGAAACACTGTGAAAGTGACAAGAAAGGAAATCTGCATAACCGTGTTAGGAAGGATGAAGAATGAAGACAAGGAATGGATCTCGACGGATACCTGGAAGCTGATAGAGGAGATAGTGATGGTGAAGCAGAAGATGAACCAGTGCAGTGAGGTACAGGCATGAACAACGAAAAGAGGAACTGAACACAACCTATAAAACACTGGACAAAGAAGTGAAGAAGAGTGCACGGAAAGACAAAAGACACTTCTACAACACACTGGGAAGTGAAGCATAACAGGCTGCAGGTGGGAGAGAGACAGAGACCTGACAACATTGTATCAAATAACCAGGTTGCTATCTGGGAAGAGATCAACGCGGATGAAAGGAATAAAAGACAGTGAAGGAAACAACGTTACCAAAGAGAGAGGAGGAAAAAAAGAAAACTATGGATTGATCACATCAAAAAATTGTTCAATCGACAACCACCACCACCTGCAACTCGTCCAGAAATACCGCCAGCAACCGCAGAATCACCAGTGAACACAAGTACTCTGACGAAAGTCAAAGTCCTGAACGCAATTAAGTTGCTGAAATCCGGAAAGCAGGAGGACCAGAAACACTGAAAATAGACGCAGAGACAACAGTGGACATGCTCACACCACTATTGCAAAAGGTTTGGGAAGAAGAAAATTACCTGCTGATTGTCAAACTCCTAAAGAAGGGTGATCTAAGTCTTTGCAAGAACTGATGTGGAATCATGCACCTGTCCACACCAAGCAAAATATTAGGCAGTATCATCCTGGAGAGACTAAAAGATGCGCTGGGTTCAAAATTACGACTGAAACAGGCTGGATTTAAGAAGAACAAATCATGTGAGGACCAAGTTGCAAGGCTACGCATCATCATAGAACAGAGCATAGAATGGCAGTCAACTCAACCTCGACTTCAAAGATTTTGAGAAGGCCTTCGACAGCGTCTACCGAGAAGTAATTTGGCAAGCAGCTGCTTCAACACTACGGTTTACTTCCACAACCCTTTATCAACCTCATTCAACAGCTATATAAAGACGCCACATGCCAAGTGATTCACAATGGAAAGCTCAGTGACGCCTTTGAAGTGAAAACAGGAGTAAGAAAAGCCTGCCGCCTACTATCACCAATCATCTTCCTGATTGTGTTGAACTAGACTGAATCATGCAACAAACTGTGAGGAGCGAGAAGATGGGCATACGCTGGCTGGACCGATGAAAAGACCCGAGAAGAAGATTTGGATTTCCCCAATGACGATTTATGTCTGATGTCTTGTGGCACAAACTCGAAGATCTACAGACGAAAACTAACAAGTTGACAGAACAGGCAGGGCAGCAAAAACCGAACTCCAAGTGAATGTAGAGGGGACGGAGGTGATGAAGACACCCAACCAACAACAACAACAGCAACAACAAGCACCATTAACGGGAGAAACCTGAAGGAAGTAGTCTCTTTCAACTACCTACCTACCTACCTACCTACATACCTAGACAGCATCATTTCAACTACAGGCGGCGGCACAGGCACAGATGAGGACGTCAAAGCCAGTCAGGATCGGAAAGATAGCAAGACACACCTTCATTAACCTGAAACCAGTGTGGAGGTCTACTGCACTGCACTGCACTACACTACACTACACTCAGCATAAAGCGTGAACAACTTCCGGATTCCCACACTAATGTCAGTCAAGTCAGTACTTCTATGTTATGCTTCAGAAACTTGGCGTGTCACGAAAGGCATCTCCAACAAACTAAAGACATTCCATCAACAGCTGCCGCCTACGCTCACTCCATACTGACACTGAAGATCAGATGGCCAGAATAACAAGAACAAGCAACCAGGAACTGTGATTAGCAACGAATCAACCAACAACCTATCACCCAACAAATATGCAGGAGAAAGTGGAGATGGATTGGGCATACACTGAGTAGGTTGATTGTGGACATCACGCGCCAAGGCAGGTCGTCGAGTGGAATCCAAAGGGGAAAAGACGAGTTGGGCGTCCGAGGCGATGATGACATGCAGGAGATGATGTGAGGAAGAAATGAAAGCTTGTGGGCAGTCGTGGTGCCAGGTTGAAAAGGCTGCAGAGAAGAGGGTGCAGTGGAGGTGTGCTACTGAAGCCCTATGTCCCATTAGGAACCGAAGGGAAAAATAATAGATAATAATAATAATAATAATAATAATAATCAATTTGCAAGCCAAAGATTTGACTGAATATCAGTGATGACTTTTACAATGAATGAATACTCATTTAAACTTATTTATCATTATAAATAGCTTACTTTTGTTGAGGCAAATGTGGATTTTCCTTCTTCAATTCAGAGTAGTAGTTATCCCATCGTTTGCCACAAATCCTCTATAATGAAGAAAAACAAAGACGTAGAACAGAAAGAAAACTCCATTGAAACGACTCAAAAATCTTGTGCTCAAATACAATGGAATAAGTAAGGAAAACTAGATACATGCAGCATATCATTCCTTGTTAAATAGAGACAACATATGTAAAATGAAACGACTCAATTAAACACTTCGCAATCAGGTTTAACAAGTGATTTTAAAAAAATGTGTGTGTGTGTGTGTATCAAAATTAGATTATATAGCCCTGATGAGTACGTTTTACTTCGTTTAATGGTGCTGAAATTGATTTTTCTGCATTTACAAAATCGAAGAGAATTAGAAGTTAGGCAACGATATCCTTTCCAGCTGTTTCACTTCCACAGCTTTACGATTGCAATTTACACGTTTTTGTTCTATATAGAATAGTTAAAAGCATTGTTTCATTAAACCTAACGACAAAGACCAATGCGAATGAAGATCAAAACTCACGAGTGTGATAAAAGGTGAAAACAGTTCACAAAAGAGCACAGAAACCGACATAATCAATCGAAGCGAATATAAAGTTGTATAATAGGTAAAGATGATTTTCAGGATAAAGTATGACCAAGAGTGGCATGGGGACAAAATGAAGTCAGTGTTAATTATTAAAATGTATCCTAAAACACGACAGAATTGTGAATAATAAGAGAGAGAGAGAGAGATCAGGGTTTTTAGCCATTTGCAAAAGTCCAATGTAGCAACAAAGGTTGAACAATTTTCTTTCGGACACATAATTCAAGTTTCTCCATGGGGAGAGCTTCTGCAGTACACATTGTAGATGACTCTGAATGTTGAATTAGTCGTGTTGCTGTGACCAGTGTTGATGAGGTATTCAGTTGTTGAACTTCTGATGGATCGATTTGCACTTCTTTACAGTCAGGCAGGGTTATATCCTCTAACCCGTTTGGAAAGAACGTACACCAAATGACCTACGTACCTGGCTTCATAGGAGCAGGTGAACTGTGGAGATTCAAATGATCAAGGAGGATATCTTCACTGAACTCTTCGTTTTCTCTAATGTCCTGTTGAGTAATTTACGGTAACTTACACAACACATCTTTTTATTATGTGACTATTGTCGGTGAACAGGTATAAGCAGATGAAGTCATCAGAGAAGTTTAACAGGTTCATGACTGATACAATTCGTAGAAAAATTCAAATAACATATGGTGAAAATGGTGATATGGTATTCTATATGAACCACTGCGACATAATTCACATTCACATACATCTGCTAGATGATTACGTTTTGGCTTCACATGTATTCAAACTTAGCAGTGACCATCATAGTCGTTGTAACATTTTGAAAGCATAGAGTACCAGCAATGAATGTGCACACTTCTAGAACAATTTCTCTAGATTATAAAGCAGTATTTGAGTTTTCCTAGACGCTCTGCTATTGTTGAATATGGGTAAGGCTTACCCTTCATGTAATACGGCCACATCTCAATAGTCTCTTTCAAGCAAGTCAATTCGCTGCATTCATATCGCAAGAGTATTGGGGCAAATGCGAAATGGCAGAGATGAGTAACTACAAAAAAATTCAATGATGCATAGACTATGCAATGAAATCATTGTCTGTTGATCTGAGTTGTGTAGGCAGATGTGAGCTGCCTCAATGGAAGTTCTTATCAATGTTCAGCTATCTGTTGTCTTTTCTTCCATATCATTACTGTATTGTCATTTTATTTCTGTTAACCTTTATTTTTCTTCCTGTGCTGTTTTGAAGTGTGATAACCTAAACAACTGAAACTCCATGCGCAGTTTTACACTTTTTATTTGCCAACCTTTAGCCACTTTATTTTAAACATGTAAACTGTACGAAATAATAGTCACCCTGGTGTCAGCTACAGTGAAATTGGCTCAACATTAGTAGTGGGATAAATTTCCCAGTAAATTGCAACATCCAAACTGTTACAGAAGATGCGTATTGAACAGACAAGCATCAAGCACATGACTTCGTTGCCGGTGACCATGCAGTTATCTCAACGGTGAAACTATGCAGTACAGAATATATGAACAAAACCAAATGAAAACATTTCCAATTTACACTGGCACACTAATTTTAAGTGTAATACCAACATATAGTGTATCATTATAAAATAACTAATTCATTACACTGAAACTAATGTCGAGACAGCAAAAAATAATACTGATAATGTGCACATGGAGTACCTTAAGTTATTATCCATGATAGTTTATCGGTTGCTGTAGGATGTATACAGGATATATATATATATATATATATATATATATATATATATATATATATATATATATATATACATTTAAAGATAGAAAAGAGAGAGTTTAACAGCATACCAACTATTATAAAACAGTCAGAAAGAACATATGGAACGCATGGATTGATGTGAAAAGGTTACAGCATTCAATAACTATTCATATAAATGCAATACACGTGGATTGAATTGAGTGAGTAATTCATACGGCGATAATGATGATAAAGAAGTTAGTTTAAGTCATAAAGTCTTTGACGACAAAAGAGCTTGTCAGAGGTCGTCAATGAATATACTACCTTTAAATAAGCAAAACGTCCTGAGAAATAATCATTGAAATTGAAACACTAAGCTGTAACCGAAGAAATTGCCGATATCGTCACCTACAATAGCTAAGTGCATTTGTTCAAACATATACAGTAACAAACAACGTTCTCAAGGTGAAAATACTATGGAATGAAGCATTTGTTAAATGCGTGAATAGCAATTTTCAATGAGAAATATTTCCTCAATGAGTGAAAGATAGATTAAATTGTTTATCAGTTGATTTGTTCCAGTGAAGCTGACTAGACCGTTTTATCACTAAATACCAGCCTAGATGAACGCATCTAAAAACGGGACTGAACTTGACTTGCCTCTGAAGTAAACAACTCGCCTTGTCTGGGGAATACAGAACTGAAGATATATCTATAGTTTCGTTGCCGAACACTTCCTAGACTCTGGATACTCCAGTGTTCCTGAAATTTATCGAATTAGCTAAGATACCAAGCCGACGAATAATGAAATTAACATGTTGATCGACTCAACTGTGATAACTGGGCAGTGAATGCTAATGTATTCTAACAAATCGACAATAAACGATAGCGCTAGTGATCAGTAAAAAATATAGGCAACATGGAATAAACATGATTGAGAATTGATTTTTCTCTCTGCCAACAGGAGTCTCACAGTAATCAGATGTTATTATTCAATGAATAACAGTAGATATAGACTAGCCATATTCACAACAAATATGTCAAAAATACTACACATGGTTCAGCTAAACCATTAAATTGGAGTACAGCTAATGATTTTGCAATCCATAAGCAGAAATGAAATACATACCTTAGCTTCAGACATCGCTAGAGGATAACTATATTGCACAGGTGGAATCATTTTTAAAGTTTCTAGAGTATAATAAAATTCACTCAGACCATAAACTCCATCGAATTAAAATCTGGATTTGGTTGAACAACATTGTTCATTGCGCAGGGAATTGGTGCACAATTTTTGTTTAGAATAAGTAGAGGTTCTACATTTTGCATACATTGATCCATATTTCCCGTTCCCTGAAAGTTTAGTTTACAAGAAAACAAGATGTTTCAGTAGCTGGCTATTTTCATCTATATATGTACAAAAAGCAGAAAGCATTGAATGATTAGGTCAGATTTTTGAACTATCATACAGTTGATTCCTTTCGTAAATTTATCATAGGACAAGAAAAAAAAGTTTTGCTTAATTTGATAAACTCATAGAAGTCTAGGAAATTAGCTGTTTTGTTTTATGAAAAGTTACGCAATCCATGTAGTTAACTACATGGATTCTCAACCATGAATACTGTGTAAAGAAAGTTCTACTGTGATGGAATCACTAAAAAGTTAGTGAGTCAGTCATGCTGTGACAAATCATCTTCAGTCTACAAGGTGTTTTATGCATACAAATAATAACAATGGTTACATTTCGAGGAAAACAAAGGTTGCATTTGGATGCAAATCCACAGCTTCCGATTAATCGGTCTGGCTTTTTAAAAATGAGTCCGAACACCTAATAGATAAGCGGAGCTGTGGCTCAGTGGTTCAGACAGATGACCATCAACCATTGAGTCACGGGTTCGAATCCTGCCTCGCCTACCAAGGTTTGGGCAGCCAGGTAGTATCACTAGCTCTCACAAACAAAAGGTCTGTGGCTCACTCCATACTACACGGATGTGCTCATAGTGGGTGAGTTCGTCTCTCTCTCTCTCTCTATCTATCTATCTCGAGACAAGCAATCTTAAACGGTACATTTGCCCCTAAGTGTTTTGTTTGTTATACGAAACATTAGGAATGTTTTTAGCATCACTAAACATTTTGACTAAAATTTCGCAAAAAATGAAATAGTGGATATTTAAATTTGGATGAGTGCTTATTATGGTGAAAAATTACCGTATATGTGACAGAAAATTTGTCACCTGTTGGTTCTGGGGGAGTGCCGACAGGAGGTGGATGAGGAACACGTTCACCTTGCACAGTGAAATCTTTCAGTAGACATGGATCCTTTGAAAAGAAGAAAAAGATGAACAAATGCACTTCTTTTGACAGAACTGACATTATCAAATCCTTAGTGTAATACAGTATGAAGCGTTAGAATTTTTAAGTTCAGTGTTTATTGATGTTGATCCCTTCAAGATTTCTAGAAAATTCGCACTCCTTGGTGGTTCGAATCAATATCGCTCAGTATCAAGGTTAAACACTTCACTACTAAGGTATTCAGATCATTAATAATCCCCTATATGGCATAATCAAGTACATAGGCTTATTATGCGATGAGAAACAATGTAGCTGCAAAGTTGAATGATTATATCGGTGGGTAAACGTCGAAAAAAGAGAAATTCACCTCTAGGGTTTATCATTGATCAAATCTGTTGTACAGGAAGAACCATATGGTCAGCAGCATTGTCGATATAAACATAAGGTTTTGCTTCGTAGCTGTTCAAGTTGCCATATGGTCATATCATTTAGTTTAGTGACCATATTGTAAGCATAACTGATGCATTCCGATAAGTAGTTATTGCTTGATAAACATTAAAATCCCTATCCACTGATAAGTTCTTTTATAATATTTTTTTTAACTCCATCGAAAGCAAAGAGAATAAAGTAATTCGAATATATGGATTCAAAATACGCTGGTAGTAAACTTCATCTACTATTTTTTGCAGAACAGACACGTTTTTCAAAAAAACGGGAGAATAGTATACCAGTGCAACGAAAAAAGTAAGTATTGTTAAACGGAGCACCATGTTTAATACTAGAGAAAACTAATCCCTGACACAACACTGTACGCAAATACAACTGTCAAGTGCTCATATACATTATGTAGGCGAATAGCAAAAGATGACTGGATGAAGAAAAAAAGGGGACTTCTCCATGAACAATAATAATTATTTTCATTTTTGAGCTTTTTTTGAAAGTAATGTGTTTTTGAGAAAACGACCCGCAAACTTCCTACTAACTTAAAGTTACCAATTATTAGCCGTTGAACATCTGAATTTTAGAAATTTCGCAAAAGTTGTGTGTACTTTGACTGAATTTTGTTTTGTCATGGAATCCCTTGTATGAAAACTGCTAATGAGTTTTTCCTTCGGTTTTGTTATGGTTTGCAATCAATTCTTTCATCTAGAAATACGTAGAAGGTAAAGCAGTATATATATACATATATATATATCATGAGAGCAAGACTATAGATCCTGTGGCTTGTACAAAGATTAACTTAACGTGTTGCATTTCTCACTTGTGAATCAAAAAAAGCAGACACTGAAAACGTCAATCTTTAGCCAAAAGTACTTATTGCTGTCGCAGACAAATAAAGGATTTTGTGTATTTCCAATCACGATAAGTATCGACCAATTCAAAGAGTTAGTTAGCTGTATTGTTTGTTTACCTTTTCTACGCATGATGTGGAATGAAACGTAGACGTTTTCAGTTAGCATTTGCCGATGCGTCATGACTACCTGGGCGAAGTTCGAAATATTATGAGATTCAGTGGCTTAATACGATGTAAAATTTAACTCAGGATAGAAACCTGAGAAATGTTAGTTTCCTTGTGTCTCATTGTTGAGGTCAGGCGAAAGGTACTAGGCAAGACAGGTTAGTCGATTGATGAGGTTGGGAAGCTTAGTCGACTGAGATGGCTTGGAAATGTACTGTGCACACCGAGTCGCCGCCTACCTTAACGTGCTGTGCTGGGGGGTTGGGGCTTGGGAGAGGGTTGAAGGAGGCCAGATCAAGACGTGGCGCAAGTTCATGAAGTTTCTGACTGTTGGTGAGAGACGTGTGGAAGATATAGAATGCCTTGGTTGAGGTCAATGAGAAGAAAGGAACCGGTGGTTAAGGACTCTTGGTGATATGGCTGGAAATCGGTCACAATGGCGCAGATGTATTCACTCCTTGACATCTTTTAAAGCTTAAATATTCACACTAACTTTTATCTTCAAATTGTTTATTATCTCAACATTGTCTACTTCGATATCACTCCATTTCTATCCATCTGTTCTTTGTGTTTCACTGTGAATTGTGGCAACTTTAGCCAATGCACCCGTGTGCGACGTTCTACTTGGATTTCGCTAGTGTCAATCAGTCAGTCGCATATTTACGAAAAGTGACAAAAATGTCAACGCAACTTATCAAACCTGATATCTGTTTACTCTTCTTGTTCTTTTCTTACCTGTTTTTAACTTGATATTACAGTTATATTAGCTTGCATAGCATATTTCTTGTTGGTCATTTCACATCAAGTTTTTGTTTCAATTATAAAATAATAAATAGGTGGGAATGAGTTACTTCACCAACACATATGCACAGTTATATCACCGATAGATATAAGAAATGTCTTTACAAAAAAGCTTAGAAATTGAAAGAGAAGCGAACAATCATCAGTGATTAGAGATTTATTGAAAATACACTGTGAACAGAAGCATACTAGTGAATGACGAAGTCAATTATGACAAATTTTTATTCCCAGTCGATAAGTTTCGCTTGCTATTTTTAAAGAAGTCTGAAGATCAAGGGGCAGGATTAATCATTGAGGGCTGATATAGAGACATAGGTATTTTTAATTAGCAAAAATACAGACAAGCTTTCGCATGACAGGGGGTTACTAAATCTAATAAATACAAATCTTAACTATTAGCAGTTAAAAAGAATAAGGTACACTGGAAAATTTAAAATAAACGAGTAGTGCACTCTTTACGCAGTGGCTGCGAATAGTCACTAGTCTTCATGATGGTCTATTAACAAATAAAAGTGACAGAACACCTGACGCTTAGTGAAGTTCACACTACTAGAAAAAATTTTTGAAATACACATTAATTTCAGGTTGATATTTTGCCACAAACTAAAATAATTGAAGAACAGTGAAAACCTGGGGACACTGGACAGCTATTTTGTCCTAGTATGGGACCCTTCAGCAGTGCACACCCATGATTTTGCCAGGGATCGAACGCCTGAACTATAAATGGACCCCCGAAAAGCTCCAAATTGAATACTTTCAGTCCTCGATGGTGGTTCGCTTCAAGAGATGATTTCTGTAGTTCTAAAAAGAAGTCGTGACCGGTAGGACCAACTAAGACGAATACGACAACAGATACACAACGATGGCATTGGGTGGAGGTCGCATTATATCATGAACTGACAGAAGCAGGAGACATAGACCACTAAAATTTCGACCCAGTGGCTCAATGGTGACGTGCTGGCCATGGAAATTGAAGGTAATGGTGGCGCACTGCTCAACAGTGTTCCTAGGTTTTCCAATGGTTCTCCAACTGATGTCAGTAAATAATGAATATCAACCTGAAATCAATAAATAAATCATCATAGCTCTCCAAATTAAACACGCATTAACCGATTTTGCAACCATCACTATTAGCCTACGCTACCTATGAGTTTACGGTGACAAAACCGGTTATTCAGTTGTTGGTCAGTCATTTAGATAGGCATGCAGGATTTTGTATTCAAGCCTATATGGTGTTAAAATGTCCCACAGATAGAGTTTCTATAAAAAAGAAAATTCTGGTCAGTACAGCTTGGTTTCCAAGAGTTTGTTGACTACTATCAACTTACGATAGAAATTCGTGTTGGAAGCAATCGATTTCTTTAGCTCGATATCTGTTGTTTGCGGGAAACATGGCAATAAAACAGTAAAACATATAAAAGTGTTATGCCATGTAGAACGTTTTTATCAACACTAAACGTAAAGTAGTAGTTCAGAATAAAAAGGTCACGAGTGAACTATCTTGTTTTTCCGAAATTCCGAGAAATGTTTTCAGAAGACACTTATATCACTTAAGAATAATTAACAGGAAAAGAAATACACAAACAAAGTAATAACTTGTATTCTTCCGCCTAAAAAAAGACAACTATTATCTCAACCATTGTCCAGCAAAATCTGCGACTTTCGTTGTCTTTATTAGAATTCCTCACTAGTATTTGCATCTGGGAGAAATAACCACGATATTTTCTGTCAGGCTACTCGACTATTAGCTTAACAGATGACATCCTACTTCCGTAAATTTGAATATACCGTCTTCACATCTTTACTCAGGTGGTTATGGTCAGTATATCATTTTTGCCTCCACTTTCAAGGCTACTCTCTTTTATTGATTGACTCTACTCTTAATCTATCATTGTTCTCAGTCCTGAAAAAAAACAAAATTATTACTATGTATAGAATGTGTTTTTTTATCATTAACCATGACAATAGAAAATTACTATTTCAATCAGTCCTCTTCTTAAAAAAGCATCGCATTTGTGGGTGACGAAGTCATTGGTGTCTGATATTGAGTAAGAAGCAAGCAATCCTAATGCATATTCGACTCAGTAGAATATATTTTCCAGCTGCATATTCGTGAATAACAGACAAGAATGTTACATTGAAAACAGTACGAAAAACATTAGATGAAAAAACTAAGATATTTTTGTACTTAGCACAAACAATCCAGATGATTGATGTTTCAAAATAGAATAAAATATCCAAGTAGAAAAATTAGCAAGAACAAAATGATGTCAGTCCACAATAAATCCAACCTCAAAATAAAATCCCCACAAACCTCAAACTCCATCACTGTATGGTGCTCATTAGTGACATGCTTCGAGACGGATATCCCGAAGTTCTAAAGAGAACCCCTTACCAGTGGGTCAATCATTTAGAAGTGAAGCAGATATCAACTGAAAACCTTGGTAGATAGTCGCGTTATATCGCGAATTGACAGGAGAAAAACTGTGAATCATTGAACTCTGACCCAATGGCTGAATGGTTTACACGTTCGTCGTGAGACTTGAAGGTCCTGAGTTCGATCCCTGGTGGGGTTGTGTGTGCGTTCTGCTGAGGAGTCCCACAACAAGACGAAACAACTGCTTAGTGTTCCCAGGTCTTCAAGGATTCTCTAACTGATACCAGCCCGTGATAAGTATAACCTTAAAAACGAAATTATGATCAAAGCTAAACACTTGAAAAATTGAGATGTATACATTTAAATATTTAGAATATTGAAACCAATTGAAGAAAGTGTCTCCGAAGTGTAAGGCTAAGCTAAATTCAATTGATCGTATAGCAACACAGTACGCAGAAAATCGTTCAGTTTTATTGAAATTGTTGCTTGAGCAATAAATAGATTCAGTCGTCAACTATATAATTTCTATTATCTTAAAATGACAACAACAACAGCAACAACAACTACTACTACTACCAATAGGAACTAAAACACCATCCTGAAAAAAGTAAAACGTAGCATACTTAAATAATCACAGATTAAACGAAAGCAAGTGGTTTGGAGAGCGAAAACACGACTAAATAACCGAAGTTCGTAGCGATGCACACAAAAAAGCCGACAGATAGAATTTATAAAAAATTGTACACGTAAAACAGTCATTGAGATATATCAGAATTTCGTAGTTTATTTCCAATACGATAATGAATATTGCTCTTTAAAAACCGTTACAAAAATTTATAAAAAGCTAGGTAATTAGATATGCATTTGCAGGCACAATTGTCAATCGAACAAAAACAGAGTGAATAACGAGAACTATAAATTGTGCATAAAAGGGTAACTCTGAAAGGTTCAATCTGATTGATGATCGACTAAACAACTGACACTGTATATCACATTTTTGTACATAAAATACACATGGTACTCAACGTATAAAAGACACAAAGTAACTCGTAGTTAACTTCGCCTAACAATAACAAATAAATTTCACATCAAATTTATAGTCCATACGAAACTTTTGACATGCTAATTAGACAATTCCTGTCACCACACATCTTCAAGATATAATAGTCTCTCAAA